CAACACACAGCAGGTGCACACAGAAGCATGTCAGAGCATCAATCTGTTTTCTACTAAGATGGAAGACTTTTACAGAAAATTAAAAGCAATGACACTATTCTTCCTAAATAATCTGTCTTAGAAAATATGCCTACGGTGCTCATAAAAATGTATTTTATGCTAAACGTTACTGTTACTTTAAAGGAGATTAATAAAACTTAAATTTCTCATTTTTTAGCCCTAACATTGCAAGTGCCAGTGGCTAGAACCCACAAAACAGACTGCCTTTGAAGTTCTCTATCAGCTTGAGGAGCGCTGGTGGCTCCTAAGATTTACTTCTGATAATTGTAACTTTAGCTTACGTAATGTTGATGACGGCCTGAATTAAACTCTTAACTCACCAATGTGTTGGATGTGAACGTGTGGCCAGCCCTCCCATTAAAGAGTTCAGCCTTCCTGACACAATTAAATTCTCCTCAGCCACGCACTGGCCATGTTCCTGCGCGCGGCGCCCACCTTCTCACTGTGCTCAGTGTCTGGGCAGCAATGTCATCTCCGTTGTGTGACAAAGCTACTGCTGCTCTTTGTACCCCAGTTCTCGATTCGGGAAATGTTCTGTGCACTCCTTCTCAGTTTCCTGGCTTAAAACCCACCATTTTGAATGTGGTTGCCTCCCTCGTGAATGTGCATGCCTCAGATATAATCACCCCTTCAGTTTGCTGCTTCTTTCCGGAATGAACTCTTGCTGAAGGAGCACATGAGTTTCTGAATCTCACCGATCCACTAAAAAGGAGTTAAACACTTTAGATGACTTAGAATCACGATTATTTTGCCTGACTTGGTTTCGTAGAATTCTGATAATCCTTGTTTGTTTTACAGAGAATTGGAAGTTGTAGACAAATATGCACCCTTATATAACTATGTCTAGTTGATACTAACTGCAAAGCCACAGGGTAAAATCCGACATCCAAAGTGTACAAAATCTTAATGTATGTATGTATGTATGTACTCAGGGCTAACAACTTAATATTTAAAATAACCAACTATGAGGCTCATCCCAGGGAAAACCCTGATTCTCTCTTCAGTCATTGGTTGCATGTAGCTCCTCATCTACCAGTGGGGCTCTGTGAGATTTCTCCTATCCACATTAACAACAGTATGGTTGCCCGGACAACTGATTTCTTATTAACAAAGTCCAGGGAATGAGGCAGCATGCACAGGGCCTCCCAAGGCTGAGAGAGAAGTAGACACAAGCCCCCATCCCTAACCCAGTCACTATCTCCAATTGATAACTGCCTACAAAGAAAAAGTTATTTTTTTCCATTGGAGCCTCACAGAGTACACAGCCACCTTTAAGGGCAGGCCTCATGGCCAGTAGCGCTTGGACAACACACAACGAACTCAATGATATTTTGGGGTGTTTTCTGTATTTTTGCTTGGCTTTTTTTTTTAATCTTACAGGTCTTTTGCTTATATATTATAGTTTCAGATTTTGTCTTTTTGTATTTATTTATGACATTTCTTTCCATGCAAATACGTGTCTCATCATCTGTATGTTTCTTGTGCTTTTTCTTTTATTTTTATTAATTACAGTTTATTAATTTTGTATCCCAGCTGTAGCTCCTTCCCCCATCGCCTCCCAATCCCACCCTCCCTCCCTCTTCTTCTCCTATGCCCCTTCCCCAGTCCAATGATAGGGGAGGTCCTCCTCCCCTTCCATCTGACCTTAGCCTATCAGGTTTCATCAGGATTGGCTGCATTGTGGGTGGAATCCCACACACAGGCTCCCTACTACTGAGCCACATCCCTGGGACACGTGTGCATTTTTTTTTCTTAATACTGCTTCTTAAATGATCTCTTTAAAAAGTATTATTTTCACATCCTGTATGACTGTTTGTAAAAAGCAGTCTTCCTAGATTGTTTAAAACCTCTTTGCAATCTTTCATAATTTCATGCAATTTAAAAAAAAATGCCCAGGGACATATCCAAAGCACAGGCTCCGGTCTGTCAGTGCTTTCTGAGAGAGCTAAGACGTTTACGTTCCCGGGAAAGAATGAGAGGTGAAGAATACCATTCCATGTTTGTAGTTGTGGGTTTTCTAACATTGTGTCAGTGGTTTCGCCTCACTGCATAGCAGCTACATTGCATGGCTTCTGCCTGTGGAACCCCACTGGTACACAGCTTCTGAAACAAGCTGTCCCCTGGATTAAAGCCCTCAATCCTGACACAGTGGTTGTTCTAGGAATACTTCCAAAGTTGCTACCAGGAATGTGTTTTACTTTTATGGTCACTTGTTCCTATGGGTAAGAACAACCATCTAAAAGGAGAAGTTTTTTAGCCAATAAATATCTCGTAGAATTGTTGACAGGTCTGGAAGGGTCGAGTTTGGGAAGCACCTCCAGAAGTGACCTCAAGGATGGGGAGAGACTGGCTGTCCTGGGGACTGGCAACTCTTGGCTTAATAAGGAGAGTGGGATCTCAGCTGGGTCCAGTCTTCAATAATGCAGCCATGGAACTGAGAAACCAGAGAAATGGCATCCAGCAGGCCAATACCAACCAAATGGAGGCCTCGAAAGTGAATGCATCTTTTCTTAGCTCACTTCCAGATAAAAGTTTCAGCCTGGTATGGAGGCACAGGCTTCAAATCTCAACACATAGGAGGTAGACAAAGGAATATCAGGAGTTCAAGGCCAGCCTGGCCTTCAAGAGACCCTGTTTCAAGATAGATAGATAGATAGATAGATAGATAGATAGATAGATAGATAGATAGATAGATAGATAAAAGTTTCTTACAAGTACCTGCTATGTTGGCACTCCTTGTCTGAGGAGTGCAGGGAAAAACTGACTCTTTCTTGTCAGCCTCTGTCACACACACAGTACACTAGAAAGCAGGGAAGGGAGTGGAAAAGTTTCATCCCTTTGCACTGGCAGTTAATTTACTCCCATTATTGTCTGTGCTATCTAGAGTGCATTTTGCTTTTTGTACTGAAGATCTTACTTGGTTTATTTTTTAGCCTAGTCTAGTCTGCTCTTTGTACTTGGTTTATTTTTTTAGCCTAGTCTAGTCTGCTCTTTGGTGTCCTTTCCTTTCCAGACAATATATTTTGATAATATTTCCCCTCCCCCAACCCCTACCAGATCCAATGTTATGTTATCTTTCGAAGGAAGGAAGGAAGGAAGGAAGGAAGGAAGGAAGGAAGGAAGGAAGGAAGGAAGGAAGGAAGGAAGGAAGGAAGGAAGGAAGACAATTAGTCTTTTAGGAAAGCAACATGGCAAGGAAACTATTATCACTCTTTTTGAGATAGTGTCTCATGCACAGGGATGCTCCTGTCTCAGACTCCAGAGTTCTGGGATTACAGGCGTGCACCACCACACCTCTCCTTTCCATGCTTCCTGAGGTGTGATAGTTCTGTTTTGCAGACAAACGTGGAGGCCAGTGAGGCAGAGCCACAGTAGTTGGTTGGAATGTAGCACGTCCATTCTGGAGGAATGCTGATGACCCCAGTGCTGAGGCATTGGCTTACTCAGACACCGTTAAAAGCTCCTCTCGGCAAGTGTAAGCACAGTGATGAACTGCACGTGTTTCGACCAGCCACACATGCTTGCACGACAAACAACTCTGTGATGTTGGAAACTTATTTATCTTCTAAGAATTGGTTTTATATCTTGCTCTGCCAGCTCATAAAGCTGCTTAGAACCCTGATTTTTTTACTGTTGAGGAAGGGAACCTCTGACTAAGATTGGGCCATGAAGGGTACAGAATACAGAATCCATCCCAACACCCTGTGGCCTGGACACCGTTAGGCCTAGAGACTCATGTTAACAGTGACAGTGCATATTGCTGGAACATAGCAGAACTTAAGGCCATGGCATGGACTGACAGGAATTAGAACTATTCAGACCAAAGAGCAAAGCCATTGCCAAATCAAAGCACAGCAGACCCAGAGGAAGGCCATAAGCCCTTACTCCTTGTTCCCCCACGCTCTTTGAACTCTTGCTTGTGTCTTCTGTTGACCAGCTCCAACCACCAAGATCTAGAATGCAAGGGAGTCCAGCCTGTGGGTCTCCAGAGGCCACTGCACAAGGGAGTAGAAAATGGGCCTGGGAGGGAGGCTGAGCTTAATAACACGGCATTCCAGTAGGATCATAGTTCTGCAGGATGCTAGCCCAGAGCGTCTGCTCCCTGTGGAGCTAATGGGAATCCTCTGCCATTACCCTAATGTTCTGTCCCTTCAATGTCTGTAGCCAGTTGTTTTTCTATCCCATTTGGTGGTACAACATGGTACAAGCTTTATATATAGTCCTGGTATCTCTAATTTTCATTATGTCTAATTTATCATCATTTTGTCTCTTTGCTGAATTTCATGTCCTGACTAGTTTTTGTTTGTTTGTTCTCTTGCTTAGTTGGTTTTTGTTTTGAAACACGGTCTGTCTAGGTAGCCCTGGATGATCTGGAACAATCTATACGGAACCAGACTGGTTGAAGCCATTCTCCACCATGCCTGGCTGGATAGTTAGTTCACTTTAATCAAAGATTTCCTCCTTGGACTTACTCTTTAATATCCTAGTCACATGCTTTCCTCAGACACTGGGATGGTTTTTAGCATCTGTCTGTGTTGCCGTCTCCTACATCCACTTCCTGCGGATGAGCTCCAAGCTTCTGTGGTCACTTTCTGCACCAATACAGATATCCATTGGTATCTCTATCCAATGAATATTCTTCATTCTCTATTTCTTTTATTCACGTCAGTTTGGTTTGCCTGTTTCCTATTTCCTTACAATAATAAACTGTGTGTGTGTGTGTGTGTGTGTGTGTGTGTGTGTGTGTGTGTGTGTTTGGGAGGGGTGAGAACTACTTAAGATAGACTCGCAGGTTATCAGATGAAGTAAAAGTCAGGGTTGAATTTGTAACTCTCAGATCACCAGGCTTGCCTATTTGTTTCTCCCCGGAGAAGGCGGCATAGTGTCCACCAGTTATGTGATTCTCACTATTACTTTTTTTTTTTCTTAACTCCTCTCAGATTCGAAGCCAGAGCAAGGCGTCAGACTCTGGGCTGTGTGAGGGGGATGAAGTGGTGTCTATCAATGGCAACCCCTGTGAAGACCTCACTTACCCTGAAGTCATCAAGCTCATGGAAAACATAACGGACTCTCTCCACTTGCTCATTAAAAGGTAAGGCAAATTTTCTGGAAGAGTTATTGTGTCTTGAAGCTAAATGGGAGTAACTGTAGAGTCTACGCATATATATAGTTATGAGGGAAACGGTGGTGCTGGACAGAAAGTCAGGACAGTTAAATGTGTCAGCCCAGTGTATGAAAGCAAGTGATTCCATTCAGTGGGACTTTCTGGCTAGTTGAGAATTAACTTGAAAATCTTTGCTGAAAATCTTAGGTATTTTAGACCACATTTTTAGAAAGATCAGTGCATTAACCATAACAGTACTGTTTCCAAGATGAGGAGTTTCTGCAAGTTCAGGATCATAATTCTTAGATTCAAAGATGAATTGAAAATGATTGAGCATTAAACCGTTGGATGACACAATAATTTTTCACACAAAGATGATGCCTTGAAGACGGGAAAAGATTAAAGATAGATTTTCACTTGTCAGGACTTCCAATAAAACCATATTTGGGTAAGGAAAAGCAGGCTAGATAGAGATTTGGTGCTACCAAAGTATTATTTACAGTGTAGAAGAAACAAACAAACAAACAAACCACAAAGACAAACAAAGAGAGCATGTTCCTTCATTTTTCCCCCGTTCTGTAAGACTACTAAATTTTTGAAGAGCTCTAGCTTCCCCCTCTGTAAATAGTCTACATATAAATAAGGAATCAATCTTTTTTACTTTATTCCCTCTTTGTGTCTTCACTGACTGAACAAGGCCAGTTCCTATGGAACACATGGGACATGTTCTTCGGCTGCTGTTTCCATTATGATATTATCATAGGAGAAGACATTGGTTCAAAGCTCAAGCTTAGGAACCTGCCTCATTTTAGAAATGAATGGACGTGTTCTCTGCTGCTCTGAATAGCTAGCCTCTTGTTTTTCTCTTAAGTATTTTGAATTTCTAAGATAGAGTTAATTGGGTTGAAGAGCTGTAGCAGTGGTTAGGAGTACCTGTTGCTCTTGCTTAGGCATGAATTCGATTCTCAGCACCCACATGGTGGTTCAGAACTGTCTGTGATTCTAGCCCTGGGGGATCTGATGACCTCTTCTGACTCTCAAGGTGACCAGGCATACATGTGGTTTGCACATACACACACACACACACACACACACACATATGTGTGTGTAGGCTAAACAATATCACTGTGGACATCTGGGCACATTTCTGAAGCTAAACAGCCCTCAGTCATATCACTGTCCTCTGTCTTCAGAGGACCAGAGATTGTTACCCAGAGATGGCTGGCTAACAATATTTAAAAACAAAACAAAGCCCAGTCTTTTAATACCAAATCCCTATTAACTTAGATGTTATTTAAATCAAAAGAAATCATAAGCAAATGACTTCTAGTCGTACAAACTGTGAGACTGTATGTATGTATCTCCCTCTCGGGTCTTCAAGAGTTTTCATCCATGTGTTTACATTTCATTTTGGCTCCCAAAAAAATATTAGCACTGGCCTGTTTTCCTGTATCCTGTATTCTCTAAGGCTAGAGTGAATTGAAACTACTCTCTTTTCAGAAGTGCAACTGATGAATAAAATATTTCGAAGTTATTTCAGCTACCTCTGTGCCAGTGTTTGCTAGATTAAACATCTCTGCCTTTTGGCACTCTCAAATTTGGTTAAATTTCCTACATAAGAATGAACAATTGGGGGAAAGGCATAGAGAAGAAGAGGGAGGGAGAGTGGGATTGGGAGGGGAGGGGGGAGGGGGCTACACCTGGGACACAAAGTGAATAAACTGTAATTAATAAAAATTTAAAAGAATTTAAAAAAATAACTAGCTGGATTTGCTACCTCATGCTTATAATCCCAACACCTGGGAGGCAGAGACAGGAGGATCTTAGTGACTTGCAACCTAGGCTACAGCGTGAATTCCAGGCCCACCTGGTCTATAGTGTAAAGACCCTGTCTTAAGAAGTGAAACAAAGAACAGCCTAGCATGTTTCCAAAAGTAGAATTTTTAAACAGCATGTCATCACGAAGCTTTTCAGGTGACTTCCACAGAGAAAGCAACAGTTGGTTTGATTTTTGTCAGGTTTCCCCTAGATGCAGCCAGAACCGCAGTTAGAGGTAAACATTTTGCACATTGGCCTGGAATTCCACCACCACATAATTTTAGAGTAGATGCCTCTCAGGAGAGGAGAAGTAGGACCTCCGCCTCATGTGGATGAACCCTGCACTAACACCCCGAGGAAGCAAAAAGGGGAGAGGGGCCGCAGCTGCTTTAGAAAGTTTCCAAGCATGAGAGTGGAGGCGTGCCCTACAGCTGTTCTGAGAGTGACGCTCTCTTACCTATGGGCTTAGAGCTCGGAGGCTTAGAAGGTATTTGACTCCCGAACTGACATTGCTTCTCACAAACCCAACAATGCAAACCTGACTGTGCATGGATAGGTTTTTCATCAGAGAAGACTATGGGATAACTCTGGCCTCCTCAGCAGAGAGATAAAGAAACAGTCTTGAGTACGGAGATTCTACAAGGAAAATGCTACAGGGGACAAGCGCATCTCATTTTATCAGGGGAAGGCACCTCATATTATCAATACCCCATGACTTAGCAATCCATTGTGGCATAGAAAGGACTTCTTTTTGCACAGGAGATCTGGGCTCACTAGAGCTTAGAAAAGGACTTCTATTTTATCCTTTCAAGAATATAGTGGGTCTAAAAAGTATTTGTAGTTTAAGGTCACTCTGAAGCTCTGAGCTGTGCATGAGACTTGATAATGTCTAGACCAAAACCTACTCCACAGGACTCTGAAGTTTCTGGTCACTATAGCAAACATAGCTTGTTGGGATAACCCAATTTCAAATGAAGGTCATACAAAGCTACACCCGTGGGTTTTTTTGTTTTTTTTGTTTGTTTGTTTGTTTGTTTTTTTGTTTGTTTGTTTGTTTTTTACCACAAAGACTGGATTAAAGATGGGTTTATATTTCAAAGCTTTGTGTGTGAGCGTTTTCCTTGTACTTGAAAAACAATTTTATCTCGGAGCTCTTTAGCAGCCCTGTAGATGTGCTGTCAAGCTCTGTTTTCTAATACGTTGCCGTTATTGGGGGAATTTTCATTGTTCCTTGCATGAGACATCATGAATGTTGGAAAATTTTCTGACAGACTTAACTGTTTGGAATTATTTTTGAATGCAGACCGTCTAGCGGAGCAAGTGAGGCTTTGGACTCTGAAACAGAAAGCATAAACCACGAGCACCTTACACATGAGGGGCCCACGGAAAGTACCACCCTGCAGATTCTTCCAGCCACAAAGACCCAGCACGAAGACTTCTTTCTTGTTCCAGTCCAGACTGGAGTTCCCCTACCTGAGGACCAAGGAAATGATTGGGCTTACGCAGAACGTACAACCGGAGAAAAAGTTCCCCAGATGCTTGATTCCCAGGAAGGACACTTGGTAGAAGAGGTCATCTTAAAGGAGAAGGCAGGCGCAGTGCAGCCGGGCTGCGTGGTTGAGCTACAACTGTCCCTCACGAAGGACAGACAGCAGCGCACCAGTGGCCCAGCAGTGGCTCTCCAGGGAAATGAAAAATTCAAGTCTCCTGACCCAGACTGGGGCTCACGACCCGAGAGGGCTGTCCACATCAACTCCATCCCTGCTCCTGAGAAAGCAGACACTTCTCTGACGTCCAGCCCAGCAGTCCAGACCTCCAGCGGCCGAGAGTTGAGAGCGAGCCAGGGAAGAGACGCAGGAGGCGCGCGGCTGCCCCAGGTGGAAGTGATTCTAGATTGCTCTGACAGGCAGAAGGCGGAAGAGTGCAGGCTGCAGGCAGGAAGGGGGTGTGTGTCTTCTCCCGTGGAAGGAGGGCGGTCAGAAGCACCTCCTTCTCTGGTCTCCTTCGCGGTCTCATCAGAAGGCACTGAGCAGGGAGAAGATCAACGCTCGGGAAAGGATCACAGCAGACCACACAAACACAGAGCTCGACATGCCCGTAAGTCCTGCCATGGATTGGGGCGGGTGTCGGGGGAGCTGGGGTTTTAGTGTATTTTGCTAGTTGGACTGCATGAAATTTTTAGAAAGATTTTTCTTATGCCTTTTACTACCTTTAATATTTTAATTAATGCACAAAATAACAAATACAAATAGTTCGGAGAATACCAGTTTCTGAATTGGAAGCAGTAAATTTAAACTTCATATTGGACTTGTTTTTTCTTAAACTTTATGCTTTTCATGAACTTCATTTTATCCCAAAGATGCAGGGACTGTTAAAGAAAACCGAAGTATGCCTCTTTTTATTTGTTGAAAAACGTTATGACATTTTGTGTTAAAATACTCTACGAGTATTGGAAGCGATGCCGACTCCGTTTAAATGGCCAAAACAGTTCAGCCTTCCGAGGTGCCTTTGACACAGGCTCCACACTCTAATTAAAAGCAGAGCTTCATTTTTGAAGAAAAAAAAAAAGCAGCCTGCGGCTTGATGATGCTTGCAGAAGTGTTTGATGGACAGGGGCATGTGTGGCGCCCAGCAGTTACAGGATCCCTGCTGTTGTGTAAGCCTCACGAGGTGGCAGCCCTCTTCGGCAGCTTCACCACCTTCCAGACCTAAGTCTCCAGGGCCCTGCGAAGGCAGCTCAGTGTTCTTCCGTAGGAAATGTGCTTAACCCAAGGCCTCTGCTGGCATTTTGTTTTACCTGCACTGCTGAGGCCATAGACCGGATGAGGTCAAGGATTGCAGTCAAGTGTCTCTTTCATGTGCACGGTTCTTTTTCTTTAGTTTTTTGTTTGTTTATTTGTTTGTTTGTTTGTTTGTTTTACCCACTTCAGAGTTTACTCTGAGGCTGCGAAGGCTGACCGGTACACAATGGCAGCGAACTTGGATGCTCCAAGCAGTGCATCAGCCTTTCTAGCCCTTGTTGTTCCTTTGGGTGCATATTTTTAGCACAGCCATTTGGAGCTCTGCTGGCCAGTGCCGGTGGCCACTCCTTATACTTTAGGCACCCTCACATACATAGCGTGTTAAACCTGAGGGTTAGGACCGCATGTGCGTATCTCTCGTGTTGGCAGTGAGCAGACAACTGTGCAGCTGTTACTGTCAGTTTAGTAACAAGCTGTAACATCACTAGTCAAGAATCATTCTTTAGTAATGGCCAGATTTTGGACTATTTTGTCTGCACAAAATTTGATAACCAGGAAAACATGCATACAGTTACCCTCCTCTTTTTTTTTTTTTTGTTTAACTAATCAAGTCTGATTTTTAACAACAACAAGTTCCACACATGAAATATCTAATTTTTCTGATATCTTCCGTTAACTCAAGATGTTAAAAAATTATTTGTGGATCGTGCTCATTAAAAATGATTACAATTAATTGATGCTATAAATTAACTTACCATTAATTTGGTTTTCCTAATAAAATAAAAACGTAAACTTTTGCCATTTTAAAACTGCCAAGTTATTTTTTAGTGGCATAATTCCCACATCAGCTTCAATGTTAAGTTTCAAAGTTCTCAAGTCACATAACTTTTAAACTCCTCCAAGGTTTACACTTATTCTTTCTGTAACTTAAACAGCATTGTATTCACAGGAGCCTGCTACGTTTACAAAATTGTGTAGCTGTTGTAAGTTTGTGATAGACTTTCACAGTGTTATAGTACTCTGAAATACCACTAATTAACTCAGTACTGTGCATCATTAACTCAGTATTATGAGTTTATGTTAATCCAGTAGCTCAATGGAAAGATTTGTGGTTGTCAAAGTAAAAGAGAAGAAACTTAAATATTTAAATGCATTGCATTGAAACATTCAGTTTTAAGATTTTAACTTTTAAATATGGCTGTACAAAGTACATCTTGTTCTTAAAGCATGTTCCATTCCTAAAGTATATTCTTTTTAATCCAATCATATCCCATTAGCTGGCACTTTTAAGCCTGTTTTTCATGAAGCTTAAGAACCCTTGGGGGTGGGGTGGTGAGGTGTGATCTGTGTTCTAAGTCAGCATATATAAAGCTGTATTTATATGAGTAAATGGAACAAGACACTGGACTGTGCTATACGTTACTATTATGTAAGCGCAAATTTGAAGATAAAAGTGGTGTAGTTCAGTGCCAGATCATGTGCCAGAACACATAGAGAGACTGGGGGGTGGGGGACGCACAGGGAATGAATTAAAAAAATAAATGAGTTAGATCTCTTATTTCTATAACAAATTATAAGAATTCTTCATATCTCTATATATTCATTTCACTCATCGGGGATCAATGTCTGTGCATTACTCCTTGCAATTCATCAACCCAGTACAATTTGTGCACTTTCCCTAGGGCTCAGGAGGAGTGAAAGTCTGTCTGAGAAGCAAGTGAAAGAAGCGAAGTCTAAATGCAAAAGCATCGCTCTCCTTCTGACGGATGCTCCCAACCCAAACTCCAAGGGGGTGTTGATGTTTAAGAAGCGCAGGCGGAGGGCCCGGAAGTACACCCTAGTCAGTTACGGTACCGGAGAGCTTGAACGAGAGGAGGAGGAGGAGGACCAGGAAGAAGGTGACAGGGACGAAGTAGGTGAAGTTGCCTTTCTCGGGACGAGCGAGTCGGAAGTGGAGGAAGAGTTACCGTCCGACCTCGACGACAGCGACGACGCACAAGTGGTGAACTTCGACTGGGATTCCGGACTGGTGGACATCGAAAAGAGACTCGAGAACAGAGGGGACAGGATGGAGATGCTGCCGGACACCACGGGCAAGGGGGCGCTCATGTTTGCCAAGAGGAGGGAGAGGATGGAGCAGTTCGCGGCCCAAAACGAAGAGGAGAAGACGACGACGACGACGATGACGATGGCGGCGGGCGGGATGGCAGGCGGAGGAGGCCCGGCCGCGCCCCAGATGGACGGCCTGAGAGCCGTGACTTCTTCTTACCGGAGGCGAGAGGAGGAATCGGCGAGGACGCAGAGCTCCGTGAGCGAGGGCGCCTTTCGGGTGGGCGTGCCGCAGCAGAACGGCCTCAGCGCGGCGCCCGAGGCCGCGGGGGCGCACAGGGTGGCCCCGACCAACCGGACCGCCAGGCCCTTCCTGGGAACCGCGAACCAGCCGGCCGCCCCCTTCTCCCCGGCGCGGGCCGCGACCAGCCCCGTCTCGGACTTGCCTGCGCCGCCGCCTTACTCTGCCGTCTCGCCCCCACCCGAGGCCTTCTCCAGGGGGGTCTCCAGCCCGAGCGCGGGCCCGGCGCCGCCCCCGCCGTGGCCGCAGCCCGCCCCGTGGTCACCGCCAGCCTTCTACGACTCGTCCGAGCAGATAGCTTCCCGCGACGAGCGGATCGCGGTGCCCGCGAAGAGAACGGGAATCCTGCAGGAGGCCAAAAGGCGGGGCACCACCAAACCCATGTTTACCTTCAAAGAAACCAAAGTGAACCCCAACCCGGAACTCCTGTCGCTTCTTCAAAACGCGGAAGGCAAGCGAGGCACTGGAGCCGGAGGAGATTCTGGACCGGAAGAAGACTACCTCAGTTTGGGTGCAGAGGCCTGTAACTTCATGCAAAACTCTGCCAAGCAGAAGACCCCACCTCCCGTGGCTCCGAAGCCTGCGGTCAAGTCCTCCGCCTCGTCCCAGCCAGGAACCCCAGTTTCTCCAGTCTGGTCCCCGGGAGTGGCTCCAGCCCAGCGCCCTGCCTTTCCCACATCAAACCCGCCGAACCCACCGCAGGTGACTGCTGTGTCCTCCATCAAAATAGCCCAGCCTTCCTGCCCTTCTGCCCGGCCCGCGAGCGCCCTGAACCTGGCTGGTCCCTTCAAAGGGCCCCAAGCAGTAGTAGTCAGCCACACCTACACACCCAAGCCGTCAGCACCCACACCGCTAGTAAACGCTGCTCATGCTGGTGCAGGGGGACCATCCAATGAGCTTCCTGGAATGAGCGGGAAAGGAGCCCAGCTCTTTGCTAAAAGGCAGTCCAGGATGGAGAAGTACGTGGTGGATTCCGACACTGTGCAAGCCCACACAGCGCGCGCCCAGTCTCCCACTCCATCCCTGCCCGCCAGTTGGAAGTACTCCTCCAACGTCCGAGCACCCCCTCCTGTGGCCTACAATCCTATCCATTCCCCCTCCTACCCACTGGCTGCTCTCAAGAATCAGCCGCAGGCCGCCCAAGCCTCCAAAACGAGCAAGAAGAAGGGCAAGAAACCGCTTAACACTTTGGATGTCATGAAGCATCAACCGTATCAGCTCAACGCGTCTTTGTTTACCTTTCAACCCCCTGATTCAAAGGATGGTCTCCCTCAAAAGTCAACGGTCAAGGTCAGTTCGGCCCCGGCCGTGAAGCAAGCCCTTCCTCCCCGGCAGGCGGTGGTCGGCTCGCCCACAAATGCACAGGCTTCCTCGGTGTACTCCGTCCCGGCCTACACCTCTCAGCCCTTCTTCGCGGAGGCCACCTCGCCAGTCAGCGCATCCCCCGTGCCTGTGAGTGTCCCCAACTCTCCAAAACAAGAATCGACCTCCTCCGCGTCCTATTTTGTGGCTCCAAGACCGAAGTTCTCAGCCAAGAAAAGCGGGGTCACAGTTCAGGTGTGGAAACCGTCTGTTGTGGAGGAGTGATCTTGTAGCTGAAGCTGAGTGTCCACTTTGCTTGAGATGAATTGTTTGCGGTGTTGAGTCCCCAAGAATGCTTAGCAGATCCTCAGATTACCTAATTTCAGATATGTTACCTCCCAGTCTGGGTCCAAGAAGCATAATAATATGTTTTTGGGTCGAAACCCCAACACAGTTCGACTTAAAATATATTTATTTTCTTTGCACACTTAACACTATCGCGAGCTCCCAGAATAGGCCTGTGACGTCATCTTAAGTAAGCAGGGTTCTTAGATTTATGCTCTAGCCTCGAGACAGTGACCAGGGTATCCAGGCTTGGGGGCACAGCCTTTAGGAAGTCTAACGGCTGTGCCCCCATAGTGAAAGGGCTCAGATGTGGTGAAAATGTAACATGACTGAGATGCCCTTCGAGTCATTCTTTAGCTCTGTTCCTGGTATCAAGGAAATAGGAAATTTCTCAAGGATGGGAATGAGCTCTGCTCAGTCCCCTCAGATGCCTGTTTGCCTCAGAGAAGGTCACTTGTCAGGGTTTATGAAGCTTAGCAATAGGTCCTAAGGAGAATCTTAGGCACACAGCACTTACTCTGTATTGGATCCTCTCCTAGATGGCCTCACATACATCGACTCACTCCAAAAGACGTATCTGAAGGAATTAGGATAGGTGGAGAAATCTCGTTATCTTTAGGAATGGGTTCCCATGGCCCTTCCTGGTTTCTTAAGGAACTATTGAGTACATCTCCCATTGCCCATGGAAAGCACTTGCTTGTTTTCCGCAGCTGAGGCAAAGAGTAGCACAGTAGAATGAAGTAACGTGAAAAGGAGAATGGACACAAAGTCACACGTGACTTTTGTTTTACATTGAGAAGCCACATAATTGGGACCGGAAGGGTTACTGACCACAGGAGCTGGTGCATAGAGGCAAAACAAGAACTGTGGAGAGCCTCTCTGGGTGACCTCACAGATTTTCTTCTCCTGTTCCAGTTGCTCTTCTGACGAGTGCTTCCTCCACTGTCCCTTGCAATTCTCTTCTTGCTCCTTTCTTTTCCTGTTTGTACTGATGAACCAGCGTAGTTTGAACAAGGTTACCTTGTAAACTTGGATCAGTTGTACGCCATGTGGTTGTCCAGCTGGCGATGAGGTTAATGCTGCTCCTGATCGCAAACCCGAAGACCTTTCTCATATCTAGTTTAAGTCTGAGTGTAACCAACCACGGAAAATGCTCAACCTGAGTTAATGTAGAGGAGAGCAAGCGATTACCACAGCTCCAGGGAAAACCCCCTGCTCTGTGCAGGGGGTGTGTCTAGAGACTTCATGTAAAGGCTTTCCTGGTTTGAGGGCACACAGTGCCATTTCAGTCTCAATGTCTTCTCTGTCACTGCCATTCTGCTGTATTCCACTATCCTATTAAAATATCACCTTCTTCTCTGTCTGTTCCTTGTTTGTATTTTTTTTTAAAGGCTTTGGGTATGACTGTGCTCTGATCTTAATCATTTCTCTAATGTTTCTCTTATAGCATCTGAATTTCCCTTTGCAGAGCTTCTGTTTCTTTTTTGGGAGTATCCACTGTGAAATCGTCAGTTTTAGGTATCCCCAAAACATGATGAGCAGTGGGTGAGCCGCACAGTGATGGGGCTGATGGTCCCGCTTTCCTCTCTATAAACCCTCCCATTGCATTTGGGGGTGATACAACAAGGAGTTATTTGGTCTCTAGTTGCCTTTATGGAAATCAATTAGGAAGATTCTTGTAGAATACAGGGGGCAAACCAGTCCCCTATACAACACTATTTGTGTCACTTACTGCCTGCATTGGCAGTTTGTTAAATGCTGTTTTCTTTTTCTTATGGAACAAATGACAAGGGTCATTTCATATAACTTTACCTTTTTGTTTGTCTGCTTTGTTTTTGTTTTGTTTTTTTGAGACAAGTTTTCTCTGTGCAGCCCTGACTGTCCAGGAACTGACTCTGTAGAGCAGGCTGGCCTTTGACTCAAGATTTCCACCTACTTCTGCCTCCTGAGTGCTGGGATCAAAGGTGGGCACCGCCACCATTGTGTGGCACAACTGCGTTCTTGACATCGCGTAAGTGAGAAGAGAGACATAGAACTCATGGGTGCCCTGCCTCAAAGCTGACAGGTGAAATCATTGGTTCAAAAGTTCCCTGGCTCGTGGCCACTCAGTGGTATCCCCAGGTACACAGCAGTTCGTGGTGTGCAGTAATGAGCAGTGTCTTGGTCTGACAGGTGCCTTCAGCAGAGCCGCTATCTGTAGTTCACAGCTAACACGGCTATGCCCTCTTAGATCTAGAGACTGCCTGTGGGACTAGAAAAATCTCTAAGAGACACACCTAGCTTACAGACACAGTATCTACAGTTTCTTCCAGAAGGTAGCAGGGGCCTCATCCAGGACCACAGGGTCCGTGGGTGGAAACTAGATGGAACTCTCCAGGAGACGAAGCATGGGAAGAAGACCAGGCCAACTCCCTGGGCAAGATGGGCTTTCCTCCTCTCCTCCCTCCTTCAAGAAGCGGCCTGCGCCGCCCCTCAGTTGGCGTTATGGCAGGGATGGCATTGTAGCAGGTAGGAGTTAGAACTCCAGCTCTAACCGCTGCCACACCCATTTCCATACTTGAGTCCCGGCTTTGCTTAGGTGGAGGTGGTCGGGGTAGCTGGTTGGCTGGATGGGGAGTCTGCAAAAGCAGTTTCTGTTTCTTTTTCTTTTCTTTCCTTTTCGTTTTCTGCTGGTTGCTTTTGCTTGCTCTTTGCCTCTTCCCTTTGTCTTTGGTAATTCATGAAGTGGATTTCTGTTGTCTACAGTATCAGTAGTGAATCCCTGCTTGTGCCTTGTGTGGAACGCCTGAAGAAACAGCACCCAGAGGGGTCTGCTGGGTGCTTCACCCACTGTGGTAATCACAGCCGCTAATCGGCTGAAGGACTATGCTAACTTCTCCTTCCCAATACCTCAGGCCTCTCTTCCCAGCAGGCACACGGTGCTGTGGGAAGTCCACACAACAAGGAAGACTCCAGGAGGAAGGCAGGTAGTAAGTAAACACAAGCCCAGCATCTCCCCGTTTTATAGAGGAACTGCATTGACACCTTAACCTAAGAGCACTCACTAGCCTGTCTCTAACACTTGAGTATGTAAGGTGTTCTGTTGTGGGAGCGGATAAGACACGTTTAGACTACCCACTGTCACGATTATAGAACTGTTTTATGATGCACATTTAGGTGACCATTTTAGAGCATGTAAAAGGGCACTGTCTGCAATGATTGTTGCCGGTAACGCACGTCAACAGTCCTTCTTAATATTCACAAGAGGCAGCTGATTCTAAGCACAGGCGAATGTGTCTAAGTTACAAACAGTTATTTAACATAAGCTGATGTCTTTCATTCTAGATCAGTGGTTCTCAGTCTTCCCAATGCCGTGACCCTTTAATACAGTTCTTCATGCTGCGGTGACCACCCCAACCATAAAATTATTTCATTGCTACCTTATAATTGTAATTTTGCTACTGTTAGGGACTGTAATGCAGATCTGATCTGCAGGCTATCTCACGTACAGCCCCCGAGGAAGGGTCATTTGACCCCCAGGTTGAGAACAGCCGTTTTGGTTAAAGCCGACCTCTCTCAGTGTAGAACAGTGTAGAGTCATCAACAGCCTGTTTTCTAGCATCAGTGGTCGCCTCTGCAATGTCGAAAACAAACAATCCAAACAATCCTCTTCTAAAGGGATGGACTAGCGTGCGAGGCTTCGTTCCTGTTTACAGTCGCCGGGTTAAAGAATGCTAATGGTCCTTGTTACCTCTGAAAGCACAAACCTCGCTGAGGCCCTACAAATAAAGCCCACGGAGAGCAGCAGACTCATGGTCTGCTTGCGGGGTGTCCTGACAGTCCTTTAGTACAGAGCCCGCAAGCACCCACATCCTAAGGGTGAGTTCCTGGTGTCAGCAGGACTCTCTCTCCAGTCCCCACCAGCCAGGCAGGAAGGGTAGTTGAAATCACAGTCATCAAGAAATGACTGTTTGCTGAAAGGCTTAATCCTTGACATGCTTTCAGAAGGAAGTGTGGAGAACACGCTCAACTCTCCTGAAGTCAGAGTTGTTGAGTTTACTTTTAAAAGTATATGTGTGTGTGTGTGTGTGTGTGTGTGTGTGTAAATTTCTACAACCAGTGTTCCCAGAAACAGTGGCCCTCGGTGGTCTTAGGTCCCATCTGGACTCTGGTGGGACACCAAGATTTTTGTTAACACTTCAAAGCTGTTGGCGGAGTCAACAAGTGTTCTGGGAAAATGCTGGGGTGAAATTCTTCTCTTGACTTCCTGCCAGAGTTGGCCTCCGGCCGCAAAGCAGACCAGCGCATTCCCATAGGACCCAAACACCAGGCAAAGTGCTGACGGACCAGACGCCACACATCACCCTGTGAGCTTCCATCCCCCACAGGAGCACCAAGACACAACTGGTTCCTTGACACGTGAAGTCGGTTTCCGGGATTTTTTAAGTGTGTGTCTGTCTGATGCATGTACACTAAGCTACCACTTGGCACTCGGATAGCAGAGAACCTCTCAGAGGCCAGTGAGTGAAGAGGATGTTAATTTTAACATTGTCCAATCAGGGTTCAGCGGTGTCTTGTGCACACAGATGCAGGTTCCCGGGTTCAATCCCCCAGACTGCAGTGAGGAGAAAAGTCAAGTCCTGTTAGACATTTCTCTGATTACTGAGTTCGTCAGATGGTTGTCAGTTAACGGTACAATTCAAGGGTAAGCAGAGGCTAGGCTTGCACTAGCTCCAACAAGCGTTTTTTTGTTTTTTTTTTTTTCATTATGGGCATGCATTAGTTTTTGCTTTTATTTTTTACTTTTTATTTTTAACTTGTAAAGATCCTGGTCATGGTCTTTGTTTATCTCATTCTTGCCCTGTTTGTATACACTCAGAGTGCCTTATCACTGCCAAGCTGTTAATTCAGAGTCCCTAAGCCTATACACT